TGCTTTCTGAATGATCTCGCTGAATGCATGAGGCCAACCTGAAGAGGCCTGATACATAGCTACGCAACTGTGCTCCTTAATAGGTCCCTCCCGGATTTATTTCACTCCCACCGCAAGACGTGCAGGCACCCCCCCTTCCAGAGCCTTCCCTGGAAAAGTGGAGGCACAGAGGCGCAGGGAATGTGTCCATCCTGATGACAGGACCCCAAGAGAAGAGGGAGGAGTAAGCCCGAGGCTCTTCCCAGGGCCAACCAGGAGGCCAGGCTCCTCTCCCCGCCCAGTGCGGCACCTTCCCACACCCCAGCCCCAGGGTCCACATTTTCGGGGGCGGGGGGTCGTTGGAAGGAGAGAAGGAAGCCCACAGGTTCCTGGGGAATGGATGGTCCTCCCCTCAGCAGAACCTGGAAAGCAACAGAGACCTATTTCCCTATCCCAACCCTCCCCAATATTTTGTTTTCTTAACTAGTTTGGCTTAACATGGTAACCCTGACAGAATGTACTCTACCTGAGGCAGAAGACCAAAGAGAGAGGGGAAGGGGCTGGGCAAGCACACTCCACCCTCCTCCCAACTCCCCAGTCAGGTCAAGGCGGGCGGAGTGAGAGCAGAGAGCAGAGGGGTGGCGAGTCCTGTGCCGCCCCTAATAGAAACCATCTCTCCGGAAACGGAGGCTAACGGGGTCAGGAACAAATAAATAAGACAGGTACCCACTTCCAAGTGGCTATGTACCCTGTGGACGGAGCAGACCTATCAACGACTAATTCCAAGAACATTAGATTAACATCCTCCTACTCTATTTTGACTTAATGGAAACTCAGCTCAGTGAAATTGAAAAGGTCTAAAGGTTAATTTGATAAAACTGATTACTCAATTAAAAGGTGATGTTCCTTTAGGAGACATTATATATTAACCTTTTAAACTGGAAATTGACAGTATGGTTATTCTATTAGTAACAACAACAAAAACCAAGAAAGTTTCTCCCCCAGGTGGTATTGTTTTGTTGCCAGGATATTGAGGAAAAGGCACATCTACCAGAAGTGGAGGAATCAGTTTTAATTAAAATCATTCAAGAGATCCAGCCAGAGGCTACCTAGGCTGCATGCTGTTCTGCTCTAGTAAAATGTCATTATTTAAAAAAATTAAACGGGTCAATAAAGTCTGAGCTCTACATTGTGGAAAAGATTACAGCTTCCTAATTATGCCAAGCTAACATAGCTTTATGGGTCTGAAGGTAATATTTCTCTCCATTCCATGAACACACTGCATCCAAAATCTTCTCAGGAACAGGCCAAGGCCAGCACATTGCATTGGGAGGCAGAGCAGTAAAAAAAGAAAGGCTTTAAACAGTCTACCACCTTTGGGAGGGAGAGCTTGATGGGAGAAGATAAGAATGGCCTTTCTCCATCTGGAGAGATTGTAGGGCATGGAGGGGAATGCTTATTCCCTAGTCCTCATGTTTCTACATGAATCCACTCCTCTAGCGTGACACCTAACCTCAGCATCCTCCCTCATGCCCCTCCCTTGGGGGCAGGGACTTCTCTGATTGGCAGCCTGGCAGAAGGACCTGGGCATGGGCGTGAACACGCATGGAGCCACGGCTCCTCTCTCTCCTCTCCTCTGGGATCTGCCTGCCCTCTCTCTCATATGCTATCAGGGCCCTCTGTGCTCTCTGTGCTCCAGGGCTGTGACCGTTCAGTGGCACTAATGGCTGAGTGCGTCTAATTCAGGAGCCTTCAGCAAGGTCACCCTCCTGCAGACCTAGCCCCTGCCGCCACCCTAGGTTTCACTAGTGATCACGCTGAGAACACGTCTATCTCTGTCAGGTCGACTTGCCTCTGGCATCCTCTCTCTCTCTTTCTCTTCCTCCCTCCCACCTCTGGCAGGAAATTAGAGGTGCTTTCTTTATCAACTGACCACTGCCCCAACCTCATTACAGGTCAAATGGGATTCCAATTCAGGTACCATTCACCAAGGGACTTCTATGTGCCAGGAACTCTCACACATCTCTTTTAATTCTCACAAGAACATTATCCACACTTTATTTAAAAACAAACAAGAAAAGCAAGCACAAAGATGTGAAGTGAGCTGTATACACTTACATGACTAATATGTGGCAGAACTGGGACTAGAACCTAGGTGTGATTGACCCTCAAAGTCCCTGATCTTTCAAAGGGACCAAAACAGGGGTAGGAGTGAAACTCAGACTGCACTGGCTGGCCATGAACTGCAACTGGGAAAAGGAATTAAAGACTGAGTTTCTATAATGGGGTAATGACTGGTCAAGACTAAGAAAGCCTCAGGAGCTCTAGTTCTGCTGACGCTGCAGCCACACAACCAGTAAGTGGCAGGGTGAGATGGGCTCCAGGGACCCTGGTCCTCCGCCCCAGAGTGTGCTGCCATGGTAGCCGGGAAAGGGGGAGGCCGAGGCCAGCTGCCCACTGTCCTGAGCAGGGGCATGAGGACTCGGAGTTAAGTCCACACCTGCTCTGGAAACACTGACACACTGTGTGGAGCTGAGCTGTGCTGTTCGAGGAGAAATGCCTTAATCCCACAATTATAATCAAAAGTTTAAAACTACTGCAAAGTTACAGAATAGCAGCCTTATAATCTTTTTATAAATCCATTGCTTTTTAAAAAAATTAATTTATTTAATTTATTTATTTTTGGCTGCATTGGGTCTTCTTTGCTGCGCGTGGGCTTTCTCTGGTTGTGGCGAGCGGGGGCTACTCTTCGTTGTGGTACGCATGCTGCTCACTGCGGTGGCTTCTCTTGCTGCAGAGCACGGGCTCTAGGCGCGCGGGCTTCAGTAGTTGTGGCACGCAGGCTCAGTAGTTGTGGCGCACGGGCTTAGTTGCTCTGTGGCATGTGGGATCTTCCCGGACCGGGGCTCGAACCCGTGTACCCTGCACTGGCAGGCAGATTCTTAACCATTGCGCCACCAGGGAAGTCCCCTCATTGTTTTTTTCTTTTTGCACTGCATTTCAATTGTACTGTCTTATTTGAATCTCCTAACAAGTGGCAAGTGATCATCACTCTCATTATGTAGAGCAGGGCTCCTTAAACCTTTTCTGAAAAGGGCCACATAGTATACATATTAGACTTTGAGGGCCATATAGCCTGTCCCAGCCACTCAGCTCTGTTGTCGTAGTGTAAAAGCTGCCATAGATAACAGTCAAATGAATGGGCGTGGTGCTGTTCCAATAAGCTTTATTTATAGACACCAAAAATTTAATTTCATATAATTTTCTTATGTGGTAAAATATTATTATAATAATTATTATTATTTTTAAAAACTGGTTTTATTTCTTATGTATTACAAGTATACTGTTAGGAGGGACAGTGTATTTGATTAACCAGGGAAGAGGAGGTGGGGCACTGGCCCAGCATCTTCCCTTAATTTCATCTTCTTTTTTTTTTTTAATATTTCTTTCTTTCTTTATTTTGGTTGCACGAGGTCTTAGTTGCAGCATGCATGTGGGATCTAGTTCCCTGACCAGGGATCGACCCCCGGGCTCCCTGCATTGGGAGGGAGGAGTCTTAACCAGCGCCACCAGGGAAGTCCCTATTGTTATTATTTTCCCTCCAGCCATTTAAAAATATAAGAACTATTCTCAGCTCACAGGCTGTACAAAAATAGGCAGTGGACTGGACTTGGCCTATAGGTTGTGGTTTGCTGACCCCTGGTTTAGAGGAAGACACTGCATTTTACAGATTAAGTGACTTTCTCAGGTTTGCACGGTTAATAAGGGGACAGGGTGGCCTGAACTAAACCAACCTTTAAAGCATTCACTTGGTTGGATGCCTTTTCAAGGAAAAGGGGAGTTAATAATGGATCTCCATGAGAGATCTCTACAACCACTTATTTAACCTAAGTTGTAAAGTACTAAAGAAAGGAGCTGGAACTGATAGGCTTATACCAGTTTTATTAAGCTTTCCAAAATGACTGTCGCTTCCATTTTTATGCACTATAAAATTAGCATCTGATGTACATACACCTTTAGAAATAAAATTTACACTGCCATCTAGTGGTGACCAACTATTTTAACTGAGAACTTTAAAATAAGGTTTTCTTGGTACTAAGCATTAGAATAATTTAGTATATTCCAAAATTATGCAAATGAAATACAGTTAAAAGTATAAAGTAGACAAACTGGTAGAGATTATTTAAAATGCACCTGGAACATAATTATTTTCTCTGTTAAAGAATTTATATGAAACATTTTCAGTTTTGCATATATTGACAAAGTTTTTTTAAAAATCAGATTTTTTCCTATATTTTCTAACTGTGATAGGAAGCCTTCTGAAGGGCAAAATCCCTTGTTTTATAATGATGAAATCCTAAAAAGACGCTTCTAATGATGTCACTTCGTATGTCTAATCCAACTTTTCCATTAATTTAGGTAATAGACTTGAAGCTGACTCCTATGGTACAAACGCCACACTAAAGCCAGGTGCAAATGTAGGTCAGGGAAGAGCAGGAGGCATGATATCTGCACTGCGGTGTTCCTGTGTCCACTGAGAGCTGGAGTCTATTCCAGAAGCCATTTTGGAAGGCTCGATCAAAATGCTTTTTCTTTTTAAAAATCAACCTAACCAAAAGTTTCTTCACTAGAGGCAAGAGCTCTTGTCTTTCCAAATGGCATTTTTACATGACCTGCATTATCTCTTCATTTGCTCGGCAATATGCATTCAGTGAGAAACTGCCCCATTTCTCTCTGCATGTTTCACAACATATACGGCACACACAGAGCTACAGACACATGGGAACATCAGAATAGGGGACATTGCTGTGAGGATATGGTGACTTTGAGGACATGGGGTATGGCTGACCTTACCTTGGCTGGGGGGAGCCCCTTTTTGCTCTGCAGATATTCTTCCACTGCCAAACTGACCTTCCCCATTACAACCCTAAGTTAGTAAAAAGTGAGGACAAAAAGCTCAAAAGGAATATAGGTATGGAAAAGAACAGTCACTAAAATCATGGTAAAAAATAGACACTTACCTATAAGCATTAATATAATCTTTCCTGTGTTCGAGAAGAAAATCTCTCAGTTTGCCAATGTGTGAAATCTATAATGAAAAGAAAGCAAATGATTTATATGGATAAATATGTTACGCTCATTTGCAACAAATTTTAAATTAGTAGAGAATGGAATGCAGGTAGTAAAAAGATTTTGAAGCTGCAAACTGGATATCTCTGGTTTTAGACTCCTGTATAATCACTGACTTGTTGGGTGGCTTTGGGAAAGTCACCCACATTCCTGGGTCTTGGTCTCTTACCGATGGTTCCTTCTTCCTGTAATTGTTGTGATCTGTGACATAACGAAGAGATGATCTCTAAGGAACTTCGAGATTCAATGAGATAGTACATGTCTAGTAACTACACAGCATGTGCTCAATAAAAGCCAATTCCCTTCCTTATGTGTCTTATATCCAAAATTTTATAGACAAATATTCCTTCTTCCAAGTGTTCTAGGGGATGGATTCTAAGGCTGGAGCTATCAAGTGTATAAATAGGGCCCATGCAGAGCAGCAGAATTAAAGAAAAGATGCAGGAGCAACAATTTATCCCTACACAGCAAGTCTCCATTTTCCCTACTTCCACGGATGAACAAAACAGACACAAAAGTACAGAGGACGGAATCTGTGATGGCTCATTTCTAGTACTAAAGCGTGTGTCAGGTAATGTGTGTGGAATGAGGGATTAAGAAACAAATAAAATAAAAAGAGGTAGGAAGAAACCTAGGATCCTGGTCAACATGGACAAAAATGTTTCCAGAAGGAGAGAATGATTAACTAAGTTGGTGGCCTGCTTGGTCCTTTGACCACAGCTCACACTAGTTTCCTCCTAATGTCCTTTGTACTTATTCCAAACATTTGTAGCCCCATCCTTGAAGGATGTACTGAACTTTCATCTTTTTCATGAAAGTTTTTCTGTCAAGGCCAACTCAGGCTAATTTTCGCTTTGCTCTGAACTTAAAAGCACTTCCGCATCCCACCCACTGGGCACTCAGCTACACACAGCCACGTCCTCTGGCTTCACTTTTGCATGCACGCCTCTTTCTTGGGGGTTAGGAACCATGCAAGGAGGGGCTGCACAGCTTCCCGCATGGCTCTAAGCACAATATGAAGCCCAGAAGGTGTCAGTCAGTATTTGTGGAATGAGTAAATGTTTAAATGCAAAAGTAGTATTTACCACTAAAGAAACATTCAGCATTTGTCTGGAGACAGGTCAGTAAGGGTTCAGTTAAATTTCTCACAGAATCTAGACTAAAAGCAAATATGGTTCAGAAAAGCACCCTTAGGCATCTATAAGAGCATGAATCGAAGAAAAACTGAACTATGGCCACAGTATTCATTTATTTACCAGGTTACAAACAACAACTGAGACAGCCAGAGTCTGTCCAGCGTCCCTGGCTCTGTGAGGAACTTCCCCACACGCGACCTTGTTCTTTCCCAGCAGCCCGTTGTGGGCACTGACGTCACCACGCTCATTAACCAGGTTGGGAAAGTGAATCTTGCAGAAGCTAAGTGACTCGTCCCCATTCACATGGTTAGTGCCTGGTGGGGCTCAGAGGCAAGCCTGGGACTCTCTGAGTTCAAATTTGTCCCGTCTTCCACCACTAAGCCACAGCTGCCTTCCTCACACTCTTACTCCTATTTTCCACTGACGCTGCATTTTAAAATCTGACTTTTAAGATTGTTGGGAAAAAAATTTAAGAGATGTGCAAACAAGGTATTTACTGTACCACAGACAAGATTTAATCAAGTTAAGTTTAATACATTTCAGTGGTTTCCATTCCCTTCCCCAACCCCTGCCTGCAAGGGGCCAGGTAAGCAGTGTGAGGGAGTAAAGCAAGAGGAATGGAGGGTGCAGTGCATTGGGCAGGGATGAATTCTGGTTTTAAAACACACTGCAGCCAAAGGAGGCATCTCTGCCGGCCGACTTGCCAAAGGGCAGCTAATTGTCATCTCTGGGCCTAAACAATGGGATTGAGTCCAAACCCCAAATGCAGCACTCAAGGCCCTTCACAATTCAGCTCCAAAAGTCCTGAGTGGCCTCAGTCCTGCCGCGCTCCCCACAGACCACAAAGACCACAATGACTCGTTACCGACTGGTTTCCCTTCACCAGAGTGCAAGCTCCTAGAGGTTAAAGGGTCCTCTCTCTTTCCCCAGAACCTGTCAGGCACAGTTCCTGGTGCAAAGCAGAGCCCCAGAAACTTTTACTAAATGTTGAATAGATAGTGGGTACTGAATAATCCCCAAAGGATTATACCTACTGTGGTAGTCAGGGTAATACCATTACCTCCACCCAAAGATGTCCAAGTCCTAACCCCTGGAACCTGTGACTATATTATGTTACAGGACAAAGGGGAATTATCGTGACAGATGGAATTACGGTGCTCATCAGCTGACCTTAAAATAGGGAGAATACCCTGGATTAATACTGGAGTATCCAGGTAGGTAGGCCCCTATGTAATCACAGGGTCCTTAAATGGAGAACAGGGAGGCAGAAGAGAGAGTCAAGGCGATGCAATGGGAGAAGAGCTCAATCCAACACTGCTGGCTTTCAAGATGGAGGAAGGGGGCCAGAGGATGAAGGCAACGTCTGGAAGCTTGGAAAGGCAAAGTAATGCATTCTCCCCTAGCATCTCCAGAAAAGAACAGAGCTCTGCCAGCACCCTGATTTCAGTCTAGGGAGTCCCATTTTAGACTTCTGACCTACAGAACTAGAAGATAGTAGGTTTTTGTTGTTTTAAGCCACTAAACTTGTGGTAATTTGTTACAGCAGCAATAAGAAACTAATACACTTTGTCTCAGTTTGGGGTGCTATAACAAAATACCACAGGCTGGGTGACTTTAACAACAAACACTTATTTCTCACAGTTCTGGAGGCTGGAAAGTCCTGGTCAAGGTGCCAGCATATCCGGTGCCTGGTGAGGGCCCTCTTCCTGATTTGCAGAGAGTTGCCTTCTTGCTGAATCCTCACATGGTGGTCTCGTGTCTCTTCCTCTAAGGGTACCGATCCCATTCACGAGGGCTCCACCCTCATGACCTAATTAGGTCCCAAAGGCCTCACCACTAAATACCATCCCACTGGGTATTAGGGCTTCAACATATGAATTTTGGGGTGACACAAACATTCAGTCATAGCATACCTGTTTAAAGCCTTATCCAAAACAGTGTTTTTTTTTTTTTTTTTTTAAAAAGGAGTCAAAGTTTTCAATGAAAAGTTTGAACAGGCCCAAAGGAATCTACTACTACGTAGGCTAGACCCAGCAGCACTCCCCAGCTTTAGCTAATTTCAGTCCACCAGGGTAGAATGGTGCAAGGGGATAAGTGCCAGGAACAAGAAGGCCCCGCAGGCATCTCAGAAAACATGCTCACAAGAAGTTTCCCTTAAAGTACAACAAATGTGATCCCAATTTCTTATGACATGATACCTGAGATTTGCTTGAAAATAATATGGAGGTGGGGAGGAACACATGAAAGAGGATCCGTCCTGAGCTGACAGCTGAAGATGGGCACATGCGCACAGGCAGGCGCCTTACACTCTCAGTCTGCTTTAGTATATACTTGACATTTTTTCTTAACAAAACATTATTTTAAAAAAAATCTCCCATTTTGCACTCTCTTTTAACATGTTTGGTGATTCTGAAGTACAGATTTTCTGCTGCCAAACTAGTAATAACCCACATTTGAACCAACACCTCAACCCCACGCAAAATCTCTAGCTATTTTATTTCTAAGTACTTGCAAGCCTTGCTTAAAGTTCCATTTAAGAGGATCAATGCCATTTTAAAAAAACCACCACCAACAAAACCTTCATTGAGAGTTTACTACGTGCCAGACTCTGTTCCAAGATCTCCCCACACATTAGCTCATCAAATTCTCCCAGCTACACAAGATGGGTAACATCATCACACCTATTTTACAGATGAGGAAACTAAGGCAGAGGCAGGGTAAGTAATCTGCTCAGGAACCCATGGGGTGAAGCCTGAATGGAACCCAGCATTCTAAGTATCAGGCTTGAGTTCTTAATGCCCAAATTTAAGCACAGATTCTTGGCAGGTGGCAAGTGCAGTTTCCCAGTATAGTAATCACAAAGAGGGATGACTGGGAACCGAGAAAAGCATCCAGTGAGCAACAGCAAGCTGTTTTTTCTTGTATCTGTATTCAACAGTGCACTACACACCTGATGTTACCCAAGAGTGACACACCAGGCATGTGTGTGCCAGGAAGTGTGTGAATTGCTCACTATGTGCTGTCATCGGCTCCCCTATAACAATCAGTTATACGTTACCCCCATTCCCGTTTGATAAACATGGAAACTGAGGCCCACGTGAGGTCGGTCACAGGATAATAAGGGGAAGAAGTGGCATGGATCACGGGTCTGTATGACTCAAAGGCTAAGTTATTTATTCTACATTATATGGTCAAAAGACTAATAAACTATTACTATTTAGCTTATTTAAGTTTGAGGCTTTTCTTCACAGAAATATAAACTGGGTTTCATGTGACAGTATTTGTATATATTGATTTTTAAAATGTTTTCAACTACAGTGGATACAGAAAGATCTGCAAGAAAGGTTTTTTGAATGTTTCCACGTAGAGCGCTCGTTTTATAAGTCACTCAAAGTAGGAACATGCCCATATCCAAAGCGCCTGTTTTTACCACTGAAGTCTCCTCCTCCAAGCTCGGTTGTTATTCCTCGGGTTTGTGACACGGGAGGCTTGGAATTCGCAAGTACCATAGGGATGCTGGGAGGAAGGCCCACAGCTGTGAGCAAGGAACCAGGATGGTCAGAAGGACTGGCAGTGCAATGGTGACCCGTTCACCCTGAGTATCAATCATCAAACTGCCTCAAAACACAGTTTAAACAAGTAATGAAGGCAACTTCCAGGACTGGGTCTCTTCCCCGTGTCTGAGTTCCTCTACCTCCTCGCCTAGTGCGGAGCACGGTATGAGCAGAGGAGCAGACTCCGGGCAAAAGGCTGTGGGGTTTGGGTGGAGCAGGGCAGACAAGAGAGAAACGGGTACAGAATCCAGGGAGTTGGTTGAGCTTCT